ATAAAACAGTACAAGTTGAATTAATAAAGAAAAGATAATTATCAAATAAATTCAAGTTAAAAAAATTAATGAAATACAGGCACAGGTACACTACAAATTAATCCTTTCAAGCGAGACTAAAGTATTTACCTAATAGCGCGTATCTTGCTTTACTGTATTTGAAATTGTTCTAGCCGAAATTAGTGCCGGATTACTGATTGTACCGGATTATTGATTGCCGGACTAGTGATGGTCAACCTGTACTAGAAGCCAGACGTATTTTCTCCACCTTGACACCGTTATACAGCAGAATAAATCTTATGAAAAATCAAGGAAATGACAGAAGAATCTTGGGAAAATGTACTCATCCTTTTATACTATATGATCCGGTTAGTAAGAAATTTAGAGCGCTAATGCTTAATTTAAAAAGGACTTGTACTAGCAGAGTACGATTTTCATAAATGATCTTGATTCATGCAGCTTGAGATTAATCATCATGAGTATGTTTAAAATGAACTAGTCAGTTAACAATTATCACTAGGTATATAACACAAGACTAATAGTAGTTAATGGAGCGCTAATATACTTGAAACAAACTCGAACGCAACGCAATAAGTTAAAATTATACTAGCCATTATGAGACAGTTAAACATTTGATTTACAATGGGTGTTCACAAATAAGGGGGGATTGTTTTCCCCACCTTAAGGACGACAACTAACGCGTCCATAGTTAGACTTGTATACACGTTGCTGGTTTTCTTCTGCAACATGATTATTCCCAAACTGTCCGTTGCGTAACAACTGTACACGAGAAGTTTGGATATAAAGTCCTTCGCCTGACCACGTATAGGCCTGATCTCCCTATGACTTCTTTAGTCCCCTCGATTACGGTTGCGTGGACAACACATTAAAGAGAACTGATGTTCTTAAAGAACGATGAAGAAATGTATCGGGAACTGTAATGTAGTTCACAGAACAATGGAGAAAGTGTATCGGGAACTAATGTAGTTCACAGAAGAATGAAGAAAGTGTATCTAAGACTAATATACTATAATGTAGCTCACAAGACGAAAGAACTGTATCAGAAAATATAATGTAGTTCACGGAACGATGATGGAAGTCTATGTGGGACTATACTATACTGTAGCTCACAGAACGATAATGAAAGTGTATCTGGGACTATACTATTACACTTTCATTATCGTTCTGTGAGCTACATTATAGTATAGTACCACATAGACTTCCATTATAGTTCTGTGAGCTACATTTCTGGGACTATACTATACTGTAGCTCACAGAACGATAATGGAAGTGTATCGGGAACCATAATTTATCTCACGGAACGATGATGGAAGTCTATGTGGGACTATACTATACTGTAGCTCACAGAACGATAATGGAAGTGTATCTGGGACTATACTATAATGTAGCTCACAGACCGACGAAGGAAGTGTTACGGGAACTATGTTGGTGTCGAAAAATATCAAAAAGGAATTTAGAAAAAAAAGGTAAAGAAGGTAACTATGATAACACTACAGTTTCGAGTTCAATCGATACCTCATTATCACATAGTAGACGTGCTACAGTACATTATCGTAATTTCAAGGTTTGTACTAAGTATCTAGCTTCTACGTGGTTTTGGGATCCACTGTATTTTTTTTTTTTTAAATCAAGGCTTTAAAAGCTTATTACAAAACATTCGCATACTTATGTTTATTAATCTATTCAAGTGATTTTCACAGCGCAATTAATTACTTTACGGAATAAGTTTGAAGTAAATTTAATAAAACTTTAGTTATTCTAGAAACTTGGTTCAATTTTCAGCATTAATGTACTACGTAATTCAGCATCCAAAAAAAGTTATTATTCTACACACTTTCAAAAAGTGGTTTCAAGCATTTGATGGTAGATACTCTTCAACTTTGTCTGTATTTTACAGAAAATGTGGTTGTTTTTTACATCATAGCTTTCGTGAGTCACGGGAAATATTTCCTATACATGACTGCTTCTGTGTGTTGCGGAAAATTCGGTTTTATTTCACACCACTGCTCATTCTCAGACATCCGATCTACCAGTAACACAGAGGTAAAAGTATAATTTCTTATCTCATGTTACAGGTCTTATATAGTGGTAGATTTTTTCCAAATTAGAATTGTGTGTTTAACATTTCATACCTGTGCGCTCTCTACCAAATTAATTCACGTGCTTGATACGATCGTGTCCGTCTATATTTTTTACTTCTACGGTTAATTAAGGCTAACCCAAGTTATATACTTTCAATTATAATTATTAAATTAAAACATCACAAAGTTAGACAAGTAAATAATGACATTAGCAACACTATACTCAAGATTTAATCTAACTGAAATTATACTAAGGTGACTTAACTAACACACTCATACACTGACAGGCTGCTTTATCTGTAGATGTTTCTATTCATTTGCATGCGCAAAAACGGAACGACCCCAAGTGACTCTTCTGAGCACTATAAATGATGCAGTAATATCCTGGTTAGTCTACAAGGCAGTAGGTATATAAGAGCAAGGATTTATCTCTCGGCTTTCTGAGGGGCGCTGTAGTGTATGTTCGATTAGCAGAAACGCTGTTATTAAATACTGTTTTCCTGACGTTTGTTCAAAGACATCTGTTACAAGAGTTTATCGACTGTGGCAAACGCAAAATAATGAGTCAGCCACAGGGAACAGTGTCAGAGAACCAGCCACTAGGAGCTGTGTCAGAGAACCAGCCACTGGGAACTGTGTCAGAGAACCAACCACTGGGAACTGTGTCAGAGAACCAGCCACAGGGAATGGTGTCAGAGAACCAGCCACAGGGAATGGTGTCAGAGAACCAGCCACAGGGAATGGTGTCAGAGAACCAACC